AATTTTTATTCGATTGCGGCGCCAGTCACCAACTGTTACCTCTCCAACACCCAAATCGGTAGCAACACTTTTTATTGTTTCACCTGCATCTAATCTTTTTATAGCGTTCAATTTAGTTATCATAGATACAAATTTTCTCTTATTTTTTCCACTCATTTTCGCAGCAGGCACCTTAACGCAACACTTTCAACAGCAATAAGTTTCCAAAATGATAAGGATCAAGCACTTGTATTGAGTCCCTAACTAGCATCTAAGCTACTAGTACAATTGAACTTGGAAGAATAAAACTCTTGTAGATCTGGTTTGAAAATTCCTTTCAAACCAACCCCTACCTAGCCACCTTCCAAAACAAAGAGAACAAAAGGTGGTGGGTTACTGAAATTCTTTCCAGGAAGAAACGAAAAATAACACCTGCATTCTTTCGGTTGCGAGAGGAAATGGGAAGAGCACTTTTGGTTGCTAGGGGGAAAATTTGGCATCTCGAATTAAGCGGAACCTTGGACTTCTGAGACTCGAACTTTCGAGACTCTACTGTACATAAAAAAAAATCATATGCATAAATAGGACAATTTATTTTGTTTAATATTAATACAAATGGAACAATTTATTTAAAATTACCTGTGAATCAGAACGGAAAACAATTCATACACAGTATCTTCTGCTTTTATCTCCTAGAGTTGAAAACTGTATGAATTTCATATAACTAAAATCAAATTATTTTAATTCACACACATTTTAAGTAGTCATGCAGTAGCCACAATAAAAATATAGTTTCATGCAACATGTGAGAAACTATTATTGCTTTTTCTCTTTTAAAATTTTATAAAATGTTTACAACCAAACCACAACAATGCTTTTTGAACTAATTTGTTTCTTAACTACTTTTTTGGAAAAAATAATAAAAAAACTGTACAGAAAATTCACACTTACGAGATGAACTACTAGAAAAAATATGTAATCTTTACATGTTTTTTGCTTATAGATACCATTTTAACAATATATCTCTTAATATTTACTATTGTTTGCAAATTTGCATCATGGTTTGCTAATATTTCAGAGTTTTTAATAATTTTAATACTTCACATACGCACGATATGGCGAACACAAATCCGGAGTTTTAACTCCGGTTTCGCATTACCGTGATATAACCGTATGCATATCACGGTTTTCCTATTAGGTGGGAGAGTAGCAGAGAGAGGAGTGGATTAAAATATAACTGAAATGTATTAATTTTAAATAAATTCTAATTCATAAATCTCAAAAATATTAAAGTTAAAAACAGCTGACATTTTGGAAGACTGGCATTATTTGCTAACAACGTCTAGCAGCTTACAAGCAATTGAAAAAAATTAGTAAAGAGTGCAGACTTATTTTGAAAGTCCCTCTTAAATATTGTGGTTGGAGCTGCGAGGGCGTTCACCTTCCAAGTTCTTGCAATGGCTGGTATATACGGCTTGCAAAATCTTCCCATGTACTTGATAATGGAGTTCTCGTCTTCTGGATTGGGTCAATAGTTACATGAGAACATCGGTAGTCGTAAACCCAAAATTCAGTCCGTTGTTACGACGGTTATAAAATACTGTGGTGGTTGGTTAAAGTTCAGGAGACTAGTTAATAGAATTTATATTATTTTATCTTATAAACATGGAAAATATTAAAGTACACTTGAACCTGTTTAGCTCAAATCTCATGGGAAAGGCGAAAAATTTGAGATAGAGAGGTTTCAAGTTATACAGGTACTTTAAAAATTTAAATAAGAAATTCTATTAAAAGTGCTTTAATTGTTTTTAGTAGAAAAAAATAGGCATTTCTTAAAATTATTATACCACATACATCTATTTACATATAACATACATTTAACACTGAAAATAATTTTTCAAAGATCTTTGACGTATAACCTTATTTGTATCGATTATTCTTTTAAGGTAAGAAAGAGCGCAAATTCCTCATGGCTAACATTTTCCTGGAATTCAAAAAAAGTTTTCTACAGCTTTTCTACCTCTTTTGCATTCACGTTTGATTCTTCCTCTTCATCTGATATTCCTTTGACATTATCTATCATTTCCACATCTTGGCAGTTGCCCACTTGTGAAAATCCTCAAAATCAATGTGAACATTAAATCCAGATTCCATTCTGGCGAATCTGGTACTGCATTTTCAGCATCAACAGTTTCTTCTTCTTTACTGATGCCTTCACCCTTTTGTTCATCAGCTATTCTTAAAACCAGCTTTTTAAAACAATTTTGGATAGTTCTTAGAGACACATTTCTCCAGGCAAAACAGTCATTCTGATAGCATCGAACATCTTTATTTTTGGAAGAGAACTTTTTTCATCGATAGCATCTAAAAGTTTGCATACCAACTATTTTCTAAAGTTCACTTTAAAACTCTTAATTATTCTTTGATCCATTGGTTGCAATTTTGAGGTGAAAATGAATTTCTATTCTTAGCTATTGTATCTATGTTGAAAAGTTAACCCCTGCTAGTCACTACTCATTTACGTCTCACTTACTGCCAGAATCATTGTATTCCTTTCTAGTTAAGGAAGTGCAGGGATAGTGTTTGAAATTCCAAGAAACACCCCAACCTGTTCATCCCTACTTCCTGTGAGTTCACGAAATTCATCTCTGCCTGCCATTTCAACTGATAAAGAAAGTTTTGTAATTTGTGCTCTATTATTAGAAATTCGAGAAACGGAGGTTTTGAAAAATTAAACATAAACGTGGAAAACACATTGATTTTAGACAGTAATTGTAGGGAATTTAGATACAGATGTTTTCGAAATAAAGAGGTTCGAGATAAAGAGTTTCAACTATATAAAGAAAGTTAATATAAATCAGCACAGGGCATCACACTATAGAGACTGTCTGGCAAATGAAAAGTGAGAGTTCAAGTTCTTGACCATAATTGTCATGGTTGAGTTGCCACACCTTCCCCCACCAGTATCAGGGGACCGATTAAAATCGATCAGGTAAAGTAACTTGACAGCCAGAACGAGTTCACGTTTCTTTAATTTGTCCCGAGACTGCGTCGGTAGATTCTGCTCCGCTGAGGGAGGAGTTTGGTTCAGATGGAAATATTCCAAACGCTGGTTGGAGACGGTCAATAGAAATAGTTTGTTCTTTGCCATATATGGGGAGAGTGAAATGTTTTTCATTTCTCCAGATGACTTTGAATGGTCCACCACAAGGAGGTTTGTAAAGGCTTTCTAACCGAGTCCCTACAGACGAACATGTGAGAACAAATTTGAAGTCTCACAACAGAAGCTCGGCTGCTTCTCGAAATGTCTCATATTTATGGTGATTTAATGGATGTCACACATATTTTAACTCATTACTAAAATTCAATACACCAAGAACTTTGACAATATAGCAGAGATCTAAAAAAAATAATAGTTAAAATTTAAATCAAAGTACTTCCACACAGGCATAGCAACATGCAACGGTTTGTCGGTTTAAAAAATTGTCTAATACATTAATTAAAACTAAGGTATTAGGATTAGAAGGAAAAATTATAATATTTAAACACAGTTGTGCTATGCTTTTGGTTTGGTTATCATAATTTCCTCAGACAATTACTATTGTTATATTACACTCTATAACAATTATAAAATACCAATTATAGTACAGCAAAAAAAAATGAAATAAAGACAGATGTGCCTAGCTGAAATACCTTGTTGCAGTAGGGAGACATATTTAGCTCAAATGGAAATGTACACTTGCCAGTTTCCTGAAAACAATTGAATAACAGTTCAATGAAACATCATGGGATACATAAGCAAAATATGTGTTTATGCTTTCTAAACTAATTTAGAGTTGACACGAAACACACCATAACCGGTCAAATGATCGTTTAAAAACTTTTGTATCGAAAATGCGCTTATCATTTTATTGCTTTTGCCCATTTGACTTCATGACTTTTTCTAACAATTATATACAGTTAAATATTCTATTAATATATATATATTTTTAATATTTTGTTTATTTCAAATAACACTTGTCATATACCAATTTCTACCACAACCAGTAATTTGACAGGGAGAACAATTTATTGCTTTATAAGGTTATCGGATCAGAAATCATGATGTAATGTGTGTGACATTGCACATTTCTGCAAAGACTGTTGCGTATTTAACTGTGAATTCAAATTTCAAAAAAGTACCTAAAATTTTAGATTGGCCTTTTTGTGTAAGAAAAAGTGACAAAAACTAAATGTTTTGGTAAGTAGCTTATATTCTATTTTGATAGCTTTACTTCATTTCCAACTAATAGTTACTCTTTACTCAGAAAAATGTCCAGAAAACACAAGTTCTCAGAAGAAATAATATTAATTATAAGAATTATGGGCCCTGTAAAAATTGCCACTTTCAAGAACCCTCAGGGGTCCCGCTCTAGAGGTAGACCACCTACTCGATGGCTCAAAGACACTGAAAACGACCTCAAAGTCCTGAAACTTAAGAACTGGAGGGGAGTTGCCATGGACAGAGGGAGCTGGAGAAGGCGTGCTGTTGAGGCAGCCAAGGCCTGCAAAGGGCTGTTGCGCTCCTGAAGAAGATAAGAATTATGGAAATAATAATAATTAGAAGAAATATGTTTGTGAAAAATGTGCAATGGAAACACCCTGTATATGTAAAAAATGAGTTTGCCAATGAATTAAAAATTCTTATTCTTAGTGTTTGTAATACATACAAATTGGCAATATACAATTTTGTTTAATTATAATAAAGTTTTTTTGATAGTTTATTTCTTTCCGAACATCCATATTTGATACATTCAATCAAGAAACATAAAGTCCGGTCATTTGACCGGTTATGGTAGAAATAGATTAAGTGTTGGTATGTTTAGTGTTAAACAAAGAATACTTTTTACAAATTAATTTTCTAATTTCAATTAATTTAACAATGTTAGGCCGATGAATCTTTATAAAAAATAACAAAAATAGATGTCAAGACGTAACAGCGAGAGCCCTCAAAATTGTTATAGTGGTAGTTCATCAAAGCAGTGCAAATTCACCTGGTTCAGCAACCACCTAAATGCTATCCATTTTCAACCTATTCATAATTCTTCAATGTGTTTCGAACTATTATGATGATCGGGAAGTTTCAAATTAACTTTTTAAAAATTTGAAAACCTTATAAAGCCCACTATACCACTATAATAATTTTGAGGTACCATTGGGCACCCTGCCACAATGAGCTACTCTCTTGGTACAAGAATGCATTATATTCAGCCTTTCTGGCATGATTAATGAAGTCTTTTAAAAATAAATAATAAAAAAAGTAAGGAAGGAGTATCAACATCAAACATTACAAATTTTTTTTAAAAATAGAAACCTACGTCACAGGGTTCCCACTCAATTTCACGAAAAAAAAGTCCCTGACTTTTCCAGGCATACCAGGTAAATTGAGACCCCATTTTCATCAGAAAACTTAGATTCTTTTATTTGTTATGTGAAATATTAGACTTTCTGTGTAAAAATATATCATTAAATGAGGATGGAAACATTTCAGTTTGAGTAAAAATGTGAAATTTTTACAACAAATAATTGTAATAGATGTTAGAATTATTTAACTTGAATCTCAATAACTGATTACTGTCACTGACAATTTTAATACTGGTTATTTTCAATGTATGATAGAGGAATATTCCAGGTTTTGTAAAAAAAAAAATTCCCTGACAATTCCAGGCTTTCCCTGTTTTCCCAGATCCATGGGAGCCCTGAGTTATTCATAAAAAATATAGTAATAAAATATTATGTTTCAAGTTGAAATAAATTTTTTTATTTTACCTTAAATCGTTCGCCTTTCACAACGTCATAGCTAAAGCGTAGCAATGATAATGTTAAGATGGGTGGCAAACTATGAATTTTTATCCCCTAAAATGAAAAGCAAAGAAATTATGAATTCCAAATAAACTTTTATAATTTGTTTTAAAAAGACATCAAATATTTATGGAAAATATAAGTTGTTATTGCAACTAAGGTTGTATAAAAATTTTTTTTTTTTGTATTGCGAAAGTAATAAAAGGTTGCACACAAAATACTTTTATTTCTCTTTTGTATTTCATTGAATTAACACAATACAGCCAGCAAAATAAAAAAAAACTGAACACCTTCCTTAATAAATTTTGATTGTATTTTCACGTATAAAAGCCCAAGCTTAGTTATGCAAAAATAATAAGTGCAGACACTATTTAAGTAACGAGATCGGACACTCGGAATAAACATTTCTTCTCTCTCTAGTTTTGAAATATATGATATGCTTAGTTCTCTAAATGCATTTCTATCTTTGCAGATCATTATTTAAGAATGAAAGAGGAAAAATTGACGCAGGACAATTGACAGTTTCACCTATAAACTACATTTTACAATAAATAGAAATTTTTGATTATTATTTCATGAAATTATTAATTGTTTTTTGAAAATAGTTTTCACAACAGCTTGCATAACAATTTTCCATTTTTTTTTCCTGACAAAAGAGCGCTGTTGAAATTTTTTTTCGAGCTTTCTGCGACATACCTCTCTAATATTAACATCTTTCTGCAAGATACTTTTAAAAATTTAAAGTAACAGAAGCGTCATCCAAAAAAAAAAAAAAAAAAAAAAAAAAAAAAAAAAAAAAAAAAAAAAAANAAAAAAAAAAAAAAAAAAAAAAAAAAAAAAAAAAAAACCTATCCGGGTTAAATAAAATAATTTTATTTAATTGAATATGTAATATTTTTTTATTCTAATATTATGGGCGATATTCTCGCATTTTGTAGGGGAAAAACACACTAAATATTTCCTTTTTTGCATTTTGTAAATAGTCAACACATTAGGAAAATAAATAAAAAAAAACGTGTAATCCGTAACTACAGGAAAAAAACATCGACTGCGAAATCATGCGAGCCGGAGTCTTTAAAAAGGGGTTACTAAATTCCTGTTTTCATTTCGAGATTCAGTTGTAATCAATAATATAGTATTTAAAATATCGGATTTTAAAAGCTATGTAGAAATCAATCTCAATAACTGCATAAAAAAAAATAGAACAAAAATGTCTGCAGAAAAGAAAACAAATTTTTTCTCTCCATCCGATGCATGAGAAAGGCATCTGTTGAATATAATTATGAAGAAAAGATAAAATTTTTTGAAAATTTCTGCAGAAAAGAAAACTAAAATATTTTTTTACTTCCCAAAGGAAAAATCTTTCTGCTAGAACTCGGTAACGTTCTGCGACAAAGTTGCCACGGAGCAAGAGATAATTCAAGGATCAACAGAGAGTGCTCACAAAATACCACATTAAAAAATGAAGACCAATTTATAGATCGGAAATATAGATCAGTAGTTCAACACAACTTCAAATGAGAGATAATCACAATACTTTCAATTAACAGGAAAAAAAACATCAATGAAGAAGACGCAGCTTTTCTCTAATCATTTTAATATCAAGTCTTAAATTTTCGTCCTTAAGTTTTATAACTATTGCTTAATTATGGAACAAATATATTTTCAAAAAAATAAGTTTGACTCAGCTTTTAATTTTAGAAATTTCTTAAAAAAAAAAAAAAAAAAAAAAAAATATTATATACTTAACAGAAACTACCAGAAGACTAAAATTTTTCAAAAGATTTGACCTTTCTTTGTTTGAAAATGAATAAATTTAAAACATATACTTCTAATTATTTAACAAGGAATACAATTTTTTGAAACTGGAATGAATAATTTCATTTATTGCCCTTGTTTGAAAGTTAAAAAAAGGATGTTCAAGAAAAAATAAAAACTTCAGCCCTTTAAGTCTGAATAAAAAATAAATATTTTTTCCCCAGGAATTTTGGGAATTTATATGACAGTACCAGGGTTGGCAAGATTTTGCCGCAGGTGGAAAAAACCATGGTAAAAACCGTCCTGGCAAAAACAGGTTTTTGCCAAGGAAATTGGCAAAAAGTGGCAAAAACCTATACTTTCCAAGATGAGAGGACAAAAACACATTTTTGATACAAAATTATTCCTAAAATTGAAATATATACTATAAATATAAATAAATACAAAAAAATTCACAAAATTATTAATCCATAATTAAATTATAATGTAATAATATATCATTTTAGTAGTTTATAACATTGATTGGAAAATTTGTGATTATTCTTTTTCCAGTGAAATGAACTTATTTTAAATTAATATAACTACATATAATTTAAAGCATACATTATCTATCAACATGTGTAGTTAATTATTATACAAATAATAATTTTTTATAATAAATAAAAATAATAATAATATACAAATAATAATATTTATTTATTTGTAAAAAAACATTAATTTAAGGATTCTAAAATGAAAAGAGGTCAAAAACTTTCAATCTTTTAAAAATTATTACCCTTATATTAATTATTAATATGTTAAAAATAATTTTTTCATGTAATGTATCAAAATTATTATTCCTTTTGATTGATTTAAATTTGTTTCAAGTATTTTGTAAGAATATTTAATCAGCAATTTAGATAATTTGGTTTTTGCCGGTTTTTACCAGTTTTTTGCCGGCAAAAACTCCAACCCTGGACAGTACCATACCCGATTTCCCTAATCTATAGCCGTAATAAGTATTTTCACATTTACATTCCCCCCCCCATTTTTTTCTTAAGTTGAAAAGTCAGATGCAAAATAACTATTCAATAAGTTTTTTTTTTTTTTTTTTTTTTTTTTTTTAAAGAAACTCATTTATCTGCTCAGGTTCATCTGATAATTAAAAGAGAGAACATATGATGTTTTAAAGTAAACAACAGGAAAAATAATTTTTAAAACTGATCAAAATCAATAATTTTAATCGAACTCAACAACAAGAAATGGTAGAATTTTTAGATGGAATGACTATTAATAGACAATTTAGAGAGCAGAATAGAAAAAATTTCTAAAGAAGGCCTACAAAGAGATGTTGATAAAGACGAATCTTAAGGAAGTACCAGAGTCTGACAAAGGCAGGGGCATACGGGGCAGTTGCTCTGGGCCACACATCAGAGGGAGCCCAAATGGAATTGAAAGTTTATTTTAGGTTACCTTCATTAATAAAAATTTTGTAAACAAAATATCAGTACTGTGTAAAATCAGTCAGTTTTATGTTAGCTTCTTCATTAATTTATCGTACGAACACAAATAATCTATCTTCCGTAAATCCATGGCTTTCTAGAATTCAGCTAAATTTTCGCAACGACGATGGAAAAATTTGGACAGTCAAAAGCCTGTATTTTTACATATCACAAAATACGATATGTTTACAAAAATACAGGCATCAGATTGGTGTAATTGCTTAAATTTAGCTGAATTCCATCCTAATGTCAGCAAGGATATGAATTTTTTGCAGATAGATGACAAAGTTAACAATCAGAAAACTGCATGATGAACTGCCAGTAAAAAAATAAAATGGAAAGAATGATGTTTCGACTGACCATTGGAGGTAGAGGGTTGGTTCTTGTCAATTTTCCTGCTATAATGATGCAAAAAATTTAAAAACCTCCATAAAGTTCAGTTCTTCATTACTGAAGTGGTGAAGTAGAGGGGGGGCTCCCAAAGAAGTTTTTGCCCAGGGCCCCAATTAGTCTAAGTCGGGCTCTGGGAAAGACACAAGCAATATCATCAAAGGTGTCTTGCGGAAATAGAAAACAAGCTTTATTTTAATCTTTACAAAGTAACTAAGATCACACCAAACATAGTTATTACAGCCTTAATAGTTGTAGCAATTATTGATAATATTAATTTATAATTATTGTAAATGCATAAAAAAAAAATATTTACCTTAGTTGCATCCACCAGGTTACAACATGTATAACAACGGTATTGATTTTTACCTTTCATGGCTTCTGCTTGAAGAAAAGTAGCTTTTAAACTATCTTGTAAATTATTAAAATTGGCAACAATTACATTTAAATCAAGAAAATCTTCCTGGAAAAAAAAAGGAAAAAAATATTATGAAATTTATACTTAGCTACTCCAGGGTGCATAGCCAAATATTTCAAAACAAAATAAGCACCTTTTAAGTACTTTTAAAGCACTCAAAACACATTTTTAAGCATTTTTAAGACTTTACGTAGTTTCTGACAAAGTACTCTTTTCCTTATTATATCAGCCATTATAAAATTCTCGAAAGATTTTTTGTTTCGATATCGGAGGGCGGAAAATGAAGCCTGAAAGGGAGAATATCTTGCAAAATGCAGCAGAGTTGCACATGAGAGTGCTAGAATCTCACCGAACCCAGCTCAGTAAACACACGTACCAACTCGCAAGTATTTCATGAAACATGTAAAATAAATGGCACTTTCACACGCTATGGACCGAAAATGTGCCACAATTGAATGTGGTTGAATAAATTGTGAAAACGTTGAATTGAACAATGTGAAAAGCACACTTTTGCATAATACGGGCGAAAGTCGACATGGTAAAGAAGAAAAAATCTCATTTTCGATAAGGGAAAATTAAGCACTTTTTAAAAACACCCAATGAAAAAAGCACCTTGAAGGGCTTTTAAAAAACAAAAATGAGCACCTTTATAAAAACGCCATGTATCATGTACTTTTAAAACTTGTAAACTTTTTCAGCTATAAAATCTATAACTTTGTAAGCACTGACAATATCCGAATCAGCACCGGTGTTGTCATGAAAATTTGGAAAAAAAATAAATAATTCCATGTACATATTATACACAAATCACTGTGCTCTTGTATGACCTGTATTGGGCTAGCTATAACATTTTTTAAAAAATTACACAGGCCATCGTCTTTTCAGACATAAGGCGTCTTGCAGTTCAATACAACACTGAAGTAGCTTCAGAAGGTGAGAGGGCACGAAAGTCATCACAGGAACAAATGTCAAGAAGAGAGGGGCAATCAAAGGCTAGCTATACTAGTTATAAATTGCTGAAAAAACTTAAAAAAACCTTGGACCATATGACATGTTATGTGACGGTGCAGAGTTGCAGTGGCGTACGCAAGGGAGGGGTTTAAACACCCCCCTTGAGCTCAGACAAAATTTCAAAAATAAAAATTTAAGTAGAAATTATGCGAGCTATTATTTTTTAAGACTATATATTTTTATTTACCTTATGGCTACTTTTTTTTTCCTCACGGTATTTCTAAGAATACTGAAAAAACATTTACTATAATAGGATTGTACTTTTAAGACCAAATTCTCGTGATATTGTTACGGACTGGTTCCTTTCTGTCCTGCTGGTATAGTTTTCGAAACTGGCTGTCATTCGCGAGGTCTTTACACGATGATTCTGGAATCCTAGACGTTCTGTCGTCTTTGAGACAATCCGAGAATTTTGGAGATTCAGTGAAAAATTATATAAAAGGGGGAACGGAGTACAGTGGAGTTAGTTAGTCAGACTAAGAGTTATCTCTGCCGCTTGTCTTTCGGAGCTTGTCGCTAAATCTGTTTTGTTTTGTCTTAACGAAAAGTTCCTTTAATCACCGAACCCGTCGTTGCCACTATTTCAACTAGTGAAGAAATCAGTAACAATACCATTGGAGATACTGTGCTCGTTGAAGTTATTCATTCCAGCTCGAAACTTTGAGATCGTAGCTTAGCGGATATTTCTGTGCCAATATATATATGTATATACATTTGCTGTTCTTGGATCTTTAGGATGTCAAAACGCAAGAATTTAAAAATTTTTAATTATTTCGAGAAAAAATCATGACCTGAAATTAGTGAGGTGACAGCATCTAGTACTAATGTTAGTTTTTCTGTTGTACAGAAACGTGATACTTCCGTTGAAGAAAACGTTTCTAGCATAACAAAATCTGATGAATGTGAAAGTGACCCTCAAAGTGTTACTTCCCACCCATATGACGTTGGACTTTTTCAGAAGATATTGCATTATGTTCTTAAAATTAAAAAATCAAATCAAAATTTAACTAAGCAATGTTGTCTAAATAAAAAGTCAAAATTGTCTAGCTGTCTAAATTAGGGAAATAATAGTGCTTTATTACAGACTCTAATTTCTTTTAGTAGTTTCAGAAAATTATGAACACCCCCCTTGAAAAAATTCTGCGTACGCCACTGCAGAGTTGTACCAGGGTTAAGAACAATTTTTCGCTTACTATCTCTTAAGACTGAGGTTATAAAGATTGTTGTTTAAATAGAAACATATTTTTATGGCACAGTAGGCCATGGCCCCTTATGGGCTGTTGCGTTACTAAATTTAATAGTAACATACATATTTAAGAAAAAAATTTGCATATTTTAAAAATATCACTTACCTCTCTTTCACTAATGTGCCCACATATAGAACACACAATCTAGAAAAAGAAAATTTTCACTTTTATATGCATTTAAGTAGATATTGCAAAAAATTAAATTGGAAAACAAGGGAACTGTTTCTAAACTTTCAGATTGAATGAAAGAAAAATTCATGTGTTTTGTAAATATACACCATATCAAATATTTTTGGGAGGGAAAGTAGGTAATCAATAAATTGCTAACAATACACTATGTGCAAAACTAAAGAAAAGCATATAAAAAAAACTTTAAAAAAAAATTTCTTATTGTTTTTTAATCATTTATTCTTGCACTTTCCAGTGACTTTACACTATAGTTTATAGTATAATATATAGTTTTCGTTTTAAGGTTTTGTCTGAAGACTGCTCATCTCCAAATTATTTTTTATATTAAAAATGTAAGCAATGCTATCGCACAATTGCAGTAGAATACATTAAAACCTCGCTACAACGATATTTTGGGGATCCCAAAAATATTGTGTTGTAGAGGGATTATATGGAGGGCCTACATACTTAACGGATACAATAAGATTTTCTTAAAAAATTTTAATGTTAATTTGCAGGTAGGTTAATTATTCTTAAATATTAAAAACTATTGAAATAAAATAAGATCACAAGCATACCTGAAAACCGTTTTTATTGCAAATAATCCGATATTTTTGTTTCTTTATTTATTCTTTTGACTGTTAAGTCAGAACAAATCAAAGTACGAAAATGATTTTCGTTCGTGAAGGGTGCTCTCCACCCACCCTCTACAGAAAAAAAATCTCTTTCAGGTGCTTTTGAATATGCTGCTCCCATTTGGGCACCGGCTTCTTCAAAAGGCAAAATCGACACTGTACAGTAGAGAGCATCAAAAATCATCATTGGTGCAGTCTCATCCACAAATAATTGTGAATCTGAGTGCGGCCTAACTCCTCTAGAAAGTAGAAGAAAACTGGCCACCATAAAGTTCACAAATAAGCGTAACAGATTTCCATACCTCAAATAAAACTTTTAAGGCATGGAATGGTAAAACCAGACTAAAATGATCTTCTACCCTTCAGTTGGACAAAATAACTAGAATGGAAAAAAACTTACAGCACGAGGATCTTACTTATGTTCAAGAACCCTTTTCCCCCCGTCAGTCCCTCACCTAAGGTAAGAAATTTAAACCTTCTACAGCCCTGCACGAAAAAAGAACCACCTGCAGATTAAGGAGAAAGGTCTGCACACCATCTGTGAGCTCTCAAATTCGACTCAAAATATGGCCGATGGCTCTTCAGACTCTAGTCTTGACCGAGGTGGTGCTGGCATCTTTTTGATCTATGCTAACAACAAATCTGAATCACACAAAAATTCTGTTGGTGAAATTGCTTCAAACTACACCTGCGAGCTGGTAGCTATAAAGGAGGCTTTGAACCTCTACTACTCCAAGGCAATCCAAAATTCTAACGGATTTTTGTTATTCTCGAACTCTCGCTCTGCCCTCCAGGCCATTTTAAGAGGAGACTCCCAACTCACCCAAGATATCATCCTGCTCTTAAATTAAATAACCGCAGCCCAAAGAACTTGTATCCCTCAAGGGATACCAGCACATGTCGATATCGATGGTAATGAGAAAGCTGATATCCCGGCCAAGAAGGCCCGAGATAACTCCCACTTTTCCAACAGCCTGAACCTAACTGATGCGATAGCCAGCCGCAGACTACTTTCTACTACCTCTCTGAAGCATTCCATCCCTGCCCTAAACTGTGATCGAGTCATTTCCACAAACATAGCTAGATTGAGGACTAAACACTTCAAGTGAATGAAAATTGAACAAATTTAATTTTCCTTGCACATCTGGACAAGACAACAACAACGTGATGCTTGAGGTCATTTGTGACTAATGATCAGCTTTTAACATGAAGGAAATGAAATCGGATAGGAATGTTACACCTGTGACTTCTAAAAAGATGAGGGAGGCAATTCTAAGAATGGTAGCTCTTGGGGTAGTCAGCAGTGAGTATTCTCTCGTCAAAAAAGATTGAAAAAAAAAAAAAAATGGAAATAAAACAAGATTTTTTTTACACTATTTGAAAACCAGTAATAAATGGAGAAAATAAGGTTGAAATTTGAAAAAAAAAAAAAAACAAACTTTTACAGGGGTTTATTGCTTTAGAGAATATCGTAATAGAGGGAGTTATGGTTGCATCGGATATCGTAGTAGGGAGAGTTCCCTGTATTTATAACCAATCATATTTTAAAATAAAAAGAGCTCTATAGATCAAACTGAAACTTAAATATCCATTAAATTAGTAAATTTAAAAAAAAGTTCCATCCATTATATTTTTAAATTTTTAGTTGCATGGCGATAATTCTTTACTAACTAAATCAATTCAAACTTCAATTGCAGTTGAAAAGTTTGCCAAATGATACTAACCAAGGTTGGCAAGTTTCTGTCGAGGTGGTTAAAACCACTGGTAGAAACCGGTTAAAACTGGCAGAAACCCTTTTCTGCCACAATTGTGGCAGAAATTCAGAAAATGACATAAAAGCAAGTACTGAGATTGACATACAATGGATAATTCATAGAAAAAACAATTAAATGTTAAACAAAGTACAATTTATTTACAAAATTATCACCACTCAAAATCAAATATTACATTGTTTGCACTCTGCAGTAATCTATAACAAAAGACAAGTTTTGATGCAGTTTCTAAACCCAAACAATTACTCAATTTGCTATGCATGAAAGAGAAGTTTCTCTCAAGTTCAGCATAACTAGCAGGCATTGCCTTTAAGGAACAAGCAAGATTTGTGAAACTTTCATCTATTGCATATTTTTTAAAACTGGACCCACCATGTAGCAGCTGGAGTAGTTGTCAAAACTTGACTGGAAAAATAAGCTCTTTCTTCTTGAGTACTTGATTATTTCAATCCCAAATACTTTGGATGCAGCATATGAGCTAGCAAATGATAATCAGTAACTGTCTGTTTAAATCTGTATGTCAATTCTTTTTCATCTCTTATTCTCTTCCTTTTTTAGATGAATCCAAACAATGAATTAAAAAGTTTGCTACAGTTACATGGAGTAACATTTTTCAGTTTACTTAAACAAAAAGTCATTAAGCAATTTCTAGAACTAATATAGATGTTTTTTTTTAGTTTCTGCCACTGGCCTGGCAAAAACCAAAAAGCCAACACTGATACTAACTTGTCTAAAGCTCCAGAAACTTCTTTGTTACAAAGTAAAACATTCTCGGTTGAGTCCAATATTACTTTTAAAATATTACTTAGGTTAAAATATTACTAATGCTGTTTCCCAAAGTCAATTTTTGTTTCCTTAAGAAAACAATTTATTTTTAAAAAATTAGCCAAGGCTTGTTTTAAAATAACACAGATTTTCGTGAGTTTTTCTTGAAAAAAGGCAGGCAGGTTGAGTTAAAAAAAAAAATCTGGGATTTTGCTAACCTTTTTATGAGAAGGAGGTGCAAAATTTTTTTTACACACAAAAAAAAAGAAAAAAAAAGAAAAGAAAATCATTTAGTTTGAGGAGAAACAAAAGCAGTGTGGCCACTCAAATCAGATTTCAAATTTCCCTGATTTTTCCAGATAAAACTCTTAAAATTTCCAGGTCTGTGTTTCTTTTTTCTTATAAAGTGTAGGATGTTTACAAGAAAAGTGGCTATATTATAAAATATTTTATTCAAAATGTTATTATTTTAATGTATTTTGAAAAAAATAATTTATTTTGACAATTTGGCAAGATTTTTATTAATTTTTTTAATGTTTTGGTACAACATTAATTTTTAAGAAATTAAGACACATGGAGAAAATATGTTTAGCTTGTAGAATATATATTGTTTTTATTGAATAAATTTTTTTTAATGTGTTTTTTTAAGAAGATTTTCTTCAAAGTGTACCTAGCAAATGACAAAAACAGAATGAAAAAAAAATAAGACCTTGGATAAGTCTTCTTTACTATATTTTCATTAAGCCAAAAGGAAAACTGTTTCATATATTAATAAATTTTTATAATTCTAGAGGCTCCCAAAAGTGTTTGTTCACTTATAAACATATATGGCAACGTTACTTTTAAAAAGTAACGAGTAAAAGTACAAGTATTTTTAAAAAAGGTAATGAGTAAAAAGTTCTTATTTTAAAAAGTAACGAGTAAAAAGTACAAGTACTAAACAAAAAAAAGTAACGATTTAAAAGTACATTTTTAGGAAATCGAAAATTCAAAGTAACCTAAAATTTTATTCAATAATTTTTAATTTTGAAAGTTACGAACATTAATTTATTTTTAAATTCGAAAGAATATTATAATATAATCGTATAATATAATTTTAAAATCAAATATAATTTTTATATCAAACTTTTTATGGATTTGCACGAAAAAGAAATTTTATCTATTGATTTTAATTTTTAGTTTATTGTTTTTACTTATTTAAATTACCATTGATTTAAAATTGTTTTACTCTATAGAAACGAGTTTTAAAAGCACAAACATAAACAAAGCAAACACGGGGTTTCAGATAGCTTTGTGATCTTTGAGCTAGTAAAAAATAATTGAATGTGCAGTATAAGTTGAAACAGAACAGTCTACAGTTTTATTTGTAACAATGGCTAATGCTGAAGTCATGCGAGAAAATCATTTTCCGAACATTTCTGCCTAACGGAATAATTAAAATTTGTAAACGAATTTTAGTATCAGCGGCTAAATTAATACCTTCGAGTTTTCAAGAGTTAAAATAGTAATTATAATAGTTTTCAATAGCACAAATAGTTCTGAAGTTCTTAGAGATTTGACTGGGCGTTGTTTGACAAGGTCGGGCATAAACATAATTTTAGTAAAAAATGTACTAGGTAAAAATGTATTTAGTAAAAAATGTATTAAGACAAAAATGTATTATTAGTGAGTTCAAAAAGAAAATTGAAAAATGTAATAACAAAATCCAAAATTTTTTATTTAAAATGTATTAAATAGATGCGTAAAACTCGAAAATGAATGAAAATAACTTGCTAATTAATATATTTATTGATTTTGCAAAATAATTGCATTTCGAAAGTGGTGTCACTGAGTCTGCTGCGAGAATTTCTAAGAAAGTGCTTAGCCATGCTGAATAAGCGCTCCACGGGAGCACTAGAAGCTACTGCAGTATTATATTTCACATAGAATTTTTTTACGATTTGATATTGATTCAAAATTGATATGCTTTCCGTTTCGACATTTGAGCTCATGTATGCCATAAATTCTTCTGTCGCTGGTGATTTGCATGATGTTTTCAGCTTTAGAAAATTTAAAATCCCTGGGTTTTTTTTCTGTTACAATTCTGGAGAACACTCCACTCACAATGATAGATGCAGTCAAAAAAAGATCAAAAGAGCAGTCTTTTCCCTTTCAGGAATGACAATTTTGAAAGGTCAAGATATTTAAACACGAAGTTAGCTGTGAATGCATATATATTGCACATAAATTTTATAAATTAAAAAAAACATAAGCATTCTTTTAAATTAAAAAAAAAATTTTTTTTTAGAAAGTTTACCGAATTTTAGAAAAAAGTAACGATTTCATTCGACATTTCCATTACAAATACTTGTACTTTTTCCCTAGAAAAGTAACGAAAGTACAAGTAAAATAGTCATCGTACGAAAGTCATCGTACACTTAAATGTTTTCCGATTTCAGAATTAAAATTATCGTCTATTGTTCTAATTTGTTCCTTTAATTATTTTTCATTTAATTTTTTATATATTTATTTGCACTTTAGTATCAAGCTTGTGATAGTAAAATTATATTTTTATTTTTGTTCACTGTAATATTTACTTTTATCATTTAAAAACGGTTAATGGTCATAACAAAACAATAGACCAAATTTGAAAGTTGACTATTTGTCATCATATGAGGTAAATCAGTAATGAATATTGTTAAATGAATTTAATGTGTCCTACTGCACTGTGCAATATGTGATAAAATGCTTAAAAGAAGGACTTCATATCAGAGATTAAAATTATAAAATTTGTGGAAAAATTCATAAATGAGTATTGTAAAAGTTTCTGTAAAATTTAATAAAAAATATTCTGCTCGAATTTCCCCCGACAAAAAAAAAAACTAGTTAATTAATTTACAAACTTATAAAAGGTATTGTAGATGTGAAAGGAAACTCTACTAAATATTACTACCTAATTAGAATATTTACTAATGGGCAGTGATTGTTTTAAAAGTGTATGATGACTCTTGTACGATAAAATTTTTGTTACTTTTTGATGATTGCTTTCGTAAAAATAAAACTTTTGCTTTGTTTTTAAAGTATTCCAAGCAGTTTTATAGAGAATAGAATATATTTTTTATTATTAAATAGCCATTCTGAAATATTCATTTTAATTAATGAATTTTTATTTCCTATTTCATTGAAAGTGTACCAACACTTTTATTTACAACTGTCACTGTATTTACATTTCAATATAAAGATGCACTGAATTTTATCTTAACAGCGCATTTTATAAAATTCATTGATCATATTTTCTTTAAACCAATATCTCAAATCAAATTTTTAAATAATGTTTTTTTTAATTAGCTTCATTATTTTAAGAGATTCAGTATACAAAAATAAATGTCACGCATGTAAAATTGTATAATTTTTTGTTGTATACTCTATAGAAAAGAAGAAAAAAAAAGATAAAATTACTTAAATTTTATACTTTTTTTTTTCTTTTTTGAAAGTAAAATATTTAAAGAATTCCAATCTAAAGACATAGTTTTTTAGTTTAGTACAGTTAATTGTTTTTGTTTTAACAACTAAAGTCTTGTACAGTGCAGAACTAAAACACTAAGTTTCGTTTTCCTTCTTGGTACTAAACACATATGAATAAAAAGATATATATTTTATGTTTAAAATATATTTTATTATTTAATGTGTTTCCTATACATTCCTTAGTCTTTGTCAGCTTTTTAGGGTAAAAGGAGGAATAGTTTTGGAAATATCATCTCTGGAAAGCAAGCAACATTTACGAACTTTTGATATTGTGATAAGTATACAATTCAAATTTCGAAACGAAAATCATATATTGACCAACAAAACAGTAAAATTAAATATTAATATATAGTTAGTTCTTAAAAAAACTTTTTTTTAAAATTGAAATATGTTAAAAAAGTTTAAATGAAATGGAAAAAATTAGCATTAATGCAACAATTGTAACAATTTGTTGACAAACATTGCTGCAAGAGATTATAAAAAAAAATGTGAGATTGGTTGGTTTGCTGAGAAAAAATATTTCACAGATTTCTTTGAATGGGAGTACAAAAGCTTTCAGAAAAAGAGTGCAATATAAAATCTATTATTATTAAATTACTAGCCGCCTAAGGCGGCCAGCTGTCCGCCACTCTAAAGGTTTTCACAAATAAAGTTTTTTAAAACATAGCAGGAAATCTGAAGATTACTGGACAATTAAAGTGTTCCTGTCCTGCAATTTTGTCTTCATATCCAGTTCTGCTGCAGACAAAAGTTAAACTTTTCTCCACTTTGATAAATGTAAACTAATGCGAACCCTACAATTAAATTATTAATTCCTTCGTATATTATTGGTTTAAGTTGTCGAAAATATTTCAATATTTCAATTGTAAGGTTCGCATTAGCATACATTTATAAGAGTGGAGAAAAGTATATGCATTTTTTAATAGTTTTTTGAATATGGCTCTTTGAAGACGAAAAAGCATAGATTTTCTTACAAAATGACCGATAACTAAAAAACGAATCCAAATTTTTGAAAAAGAAAAAAAAAAAAACTTCTTCATTATGTCAAAACACAATTATGTGCCGAGTTTCGTGCCTGGGCGAGGGTCCTGGGGCGATATATTGTGATTACAGACAGACAAACAGACACACATACAGCCGCGTTTATTATTATGTATAGATAACCAACTAATTTTTGGAGAGTTTTATAAAGTTAAAAATACAAAAACATTTTGTCAAAATAAATTACCACCAAAGCATCGGAACAAAGTTGAGCCATAAATGGATTCAGCCCAAGGACAGAATTTAAAAACAAAAGCTAATATCTTAATCCCTTCTTCCACCTCCACCAGAATCTTTCCTAAATTGTCCCATAGCGGTCAAAGGTTTCTATATTCGTATTAGCAACCGTGGGAGAATTTTATGTGGCATTCTAGTTTAACAGAGCTAATTTTGATGCAAGCAAAGTATCGCTAAGTTGATGATATTTCAACTGTTTGGCTATACATTTCTGTCTAAAAAAAGTGGGTATAATGGATGTCAGAATGGAGAAAATTAGTAAATAATTTAAATTAGTGGAATTTTAACAATTATTGAAGAAAAAATTTCCAGCTTTTCTTTAAAATTCCCTGATTTTTCTAGGTTTTTATCCAAATTTCCCTGATGTTTTCCAGTATAAAAAAATTCCCTCATAATTCCAGGTTTTCCAAGTGGGTGGCCACCCTGAAAATCTGTTTTGGCAAACTTTTCAGAAAATTAAAATGGTTTTAAGCACATTACAAAGTCAGGGGTCAATCCAGGTGAAATTTACTACTGTTTAGCGGCACCTTCACAAATTCAACTTTAGGAAACACAAAATACTTTTTCTTAAAATGTTATTTTTGTATCCTTTAAGAACAAAAAATCCATATTTTTACCGTATTTCTGTGTTGGTTTTTTAAATAAATTTTTAATTTTCACAAATTAGGTACCTCTCAGAAAAATGTAGGAAGACCCTTGGAAGTTTGCAGTAAACTACCAGCTTATAAAAATTGGCTATATGTTTGCATAAGCAAAGATGCATAAGGAGCACTTACCTCAGTCATAGTTGATCCATGGTAGAGCTGATGAATTAAATCTTTGCCAGAAGTGCCAACTAAAGAGGAATCAATTGCGTGAAAAAGAATTCGATTAAGCTCTTGGACATCGTGCTGTTGAAGTCCCTACATCAAGTAAACAAAAAAGATGTTTTATTAAGGACAATTCTTAGGGTTATATTTCCTTAATTATTTTTGTTTTACTAACAAATAAACACATTGCATATAAAGTTGTGTTATATATCAGAATTAATGTAACAGAAAATGATTGTTCTTTTCAGCCAGTAAGTTAGTATGGCAAAGAAATTTAGCAGAGAAGCATAGTCATTTGATTTCTGTGAATATTTGACCACATAAATTAACATGTTATATTTATAGCGCTTGAAAAAAATAATGCATTAGAAATGCAATAAAGAAATATTGTTCGGAATTTATTTTTACATTCTTTTTACATATTTAGTTAATTAAGCATTTTAAATAGTTAGATAAAAGAAATATGCCAATAAAATTTGAAACTAAACCAAATTCCCATTTTAAGTTAAACTTATTTTCCATCATCAATGACATGTAAAATCGTCAATACTAAGTTAATTCTAGAAGCTGTTACCATTTTGCTTCGTTTCTTGCTTACCGTTTCCCCCCTTCTTCTTTCATTTCCAATTAGTCTTTCAATATTTTTAAAATATGATATCTTGAATATGATGTTATAACAATAAGCGAATTTTGAATATCAGTTATCACTTCTTGAACAACTGTGGATTTCATCTCAAATCCACATCATTTTCTGATCCTTTTAACATATTTTTTTTTAGTGGTTTCTCATTAATTAATATTTTTAACTACATGAGACACAAAATATTATTAAGAAAATCAAACTTCGTATTGGAGCAATTTGTTAACAATTTATTCGAAAAACACTTTTTAACATGCCTGATTCCATAGTAATTCTAAGTTCTAGAATAACTTCTTCAGCAACTTCCCTTTTTTTTAAAAAAAATTTCCATGTTTTAAACATGATATTATTATAATACGCTTTTGTTGAATTTTAATATATTAATTTTGGATTTGTCTTTTTGAGCTGATTTTATGGTAAATCGTCATTGACAGATTTTTAGCCCACTCTTTCCACGTGGCGCTTCCAATTACTAAAAATGTTTATATGAACAGTGTTTCTGCTATACTTTAGAAACTATGGATTTTAGGACCCAGGATTTCTATATTACTGGGTCCCTTTTTAAACTATAAATTTCCATCCATCGTTCAATTGGCACATTCATAATTCCATCTATTGGCAGAAATTTTTTTTTTCAAAAGAAGAATTTCGAACAATTAAAGCTTTTAATTAAAGACTGTAAAAATGCCTACAAAGAATGCAATAATGCCATTTGAGAAAAAGTTAAAAAAAAGATAAGATTTGTTCATAAGTTCAAAGTTTGGTTCCAATTTTGCTAACACACACATTTGCTGGTTTTGTTTTTCCTGAGTTGGAGAATTATGTATCCTAAGGTAGTGTTCCTCAACCCCCGGTCCGCGGACCGGTACCGGGCTGCCCCATTTCATTGAAACTGAATTTAAATTCCTAGGTTTACAACCCAAATTAAAAATATTTGTATTCCATTAAAATTTTATTTATTTAAAAAAAGAGATCTCCGAAGGTAGTGACGTAAATTTTTTATGTAAAAGTAAAAAAAAGGAAGAAGACCACTGCAACTATTTTCTCCTTCAATTAGCTTTAATAAAAAAAAATCAATCATCATAATTGTAAATATCATAAATAAAACACGAAAGTGCGATGCGAAATTTACATTGGAACTAATGAAGAACTTTATCTTCTCTCTCGATCGTGACTCATTGATTTAACGCTCTAGTAAGTTAAAATATTAAATCACTTTATATTTATTGTTTGGTGTAACTATATTTTATTTTGAAGGCATGTTTAAATGCAATTAAATTAAAATTAATAAATCAGAATAATCTAAAATATAAACAATCAAAGCCCCCTCCCCCGCCCCATTGGGCCGTGGAAAAATTATCAAACGCTGACAGGTCCGCGGTGATAAAAAGGTAGGGGAGCACTGTCCTAAGGGACCTGTCATAACTTTATATTTCCCTCCATGAATTTTAATGCATTTGACAAGTTATAAAATTTTAGAAAAAAATTCTTGATACTTGATGGGAGGAAGGATCTAACAAAACAATATTTAGGTAAATTGTCGTTTTTAAACAACAAAACTGATTTTTGAGCTCAAATGCGACTCCAAACCGGGCAAACACTTTTTGTTCAGTAAATATTATTACGGTTTTGGAGAAGCAATTTTTCGGGGGAAAAACACCATTTTGGAGCAGACATTTTATATTGGAAGCAATTTGAGCAGCTGTTTCAAACTTTCAAATGTTTATTTAGAATTAAAACAACTTTGATTCAAATGCAAAATATTAAAAATAAGTTTAAAACAGTAAGGGTTTATTTTACTTAAGAAGTACATGCCGAAGTTTCATGGAGTTTCATGGAGATACCCTGTTTTTAGCTTGTTCCTTCTTTTTTTCTTTTCTTAATAATTGCATGCACATAAATATAGCAAAATTACTTATAATATTCTGTTTCAATTGATAATAAACTACTAACCTCACTGTTATTCCAACCAAAGCTTTCAGTTAACTCATTAGTTGAAGCTGCTTGTTGGTCAACCAACAGGAGTCTAGTAAATAGTCTCTGAAGTTGAAGTGGTATAATTCTAACTTTGGTTTTCTCTCGATTTTCTAATGAGCCAAGTTCAGCTTCCGGAATTCCAAAAAGACCCTCTACAGAAATATAATATGTGTTTGTCAAATGAACAATTTACAAAGGAAAAATCTTAGTAATAGACAATGTTAATTGATAATTTAGAAAACACTCTATTTTTTTAGGTTTAAAAGCAAGGTTGGCAGGTTTAAACCAAACATTAAAATAATAATAATAATAAAATAATTATTTATAACAATAATTTTAGTCCGAGCATAACCAAATGAAAAAGATAAAATTTTCTACTAAAAATAGTTCAATTTTAATGTATAGTTCAATTTTAAAATGAATAGAAATTTTTATTAGGAATGTAACAAATATTTGGCCACTATTCGATATTCAGCCCGTCCCCTTGTCATAGAAAGTTACAGAGTTCCTGCAGAAAGAATTTTCCTTCAGAAATTTTCATTTTCCTTTCAACAAAAATTATTACATATTATCAGAGATAGTTTCCACATATATTTGTCAATTTCAAATATTCATGTTGCTTGCAAATTGACATTCTGGAGGACAAATGGAAAAGCAAAACTAGAATACTTTCTATTGAAACACATGTTTCGTACTGCTGATTTTTTTTTATTTTTAAAATTACATTCAGGCAAGTCAATTTGGTTGTTCTTTCAACACTGGTTTTAGATATCTCGGTTGCTGTTTATTATGTTTTTTTTTTTACACATTTGATTGTTTTGTCTTTAATTTATTGCAGCATTTAAACATTGTGTTTCTGATAAGACTGTTCCTTTAGTGTCAATTTTTTCTTGTATGCAGACTAAAATAGGTAATATAAGAACAGGTGGGGACTATACAGTAAGATATAAGTTACATTTTAAGACATTTTTCTGCTTCCTTTCTATTTTATTATTTTTTCTTTCAATCAGCATTTTTATCAAAACCCCAGTGGCAGAACATTACAGAGCTTCTGCAGAAAGATTTTTTATTTGGGAGGCAAAGAAGTTTAAGTTTTTTTTACCAGCAGAATTTTTCAAAATTTTTTTTTTCTATAGAACTTTTCCCCCCCTTTCTGCAGAATTATATTAAAAAAATGCCTTTCTTTCATATCGGAGGTGGAAAATCGCTCATAATTTTTCTTTTCAGTTTTTCTTATCGAAAATAAAAATTTTTTTCAATGATTTGCTTTAGCTAGAATTTCAGATTCATATTATAAAAAGTAAACTCCAAACAGGGTTGGGTTTTTGACGTCAAAAAGTGGTTTTTGACATGACAGGGGTATAATACTGGTTTAAACCGTCAAAAACCCGTCGAAAATGTCAAAAACTGAAGTTTGCCAAGAAAATATATAAACTTCAAAACTACCAACAGTTGCCATGCATTATATTGAAATTTAATTATACTATAGGTAATCAGCAGGTTTTAAAATATTTTTTAATTAAAATTAAGGTAAAATAACAGATTTAAAATCTCAGAAATTTATATTCAAATGCATGTGCAGAAAAATTTTGCACAAAAATTGTTTAAATATTTATATTTAAAAAAAAAATTTTTTTTTTGATACTTAAGAAAATTAAAAGTTTATTACTATGCATTTTTGACATATAAGGAACATATAACTAATATTTATAAGGAACTTACAAGTTATGTTGTATAAATACAAACTTGATACAAGTGTATGAAAAAAAATTTTAATGTTATACCGAATATCTTTATTATCCAGTATGTTAATTTGAATTTAAAAGTAGTTATATTTATGAATAATGATAAATATAATTCATATTGTTTATTATATTTATTTATAATTATTACACTTATCATTTTAAAACAATTTTTATCTCTTAATTTTTTTTTCTCCACTTGTATTAAGAATACAAATAATGCATATCTTGAAAGCAAGAAGTAATTATTCAACAGCTGAATATTTAGATATTCAACAAAACTATATAGTATTCAGCAAAATGAAATTCACAAGTATTTGGATAAACTAAATTTTCAGCATAGTAAATGAATAGGCTGAATATACTGTAAATCGACACTAACTACTCTGTGTATTTAACAGAAAGCACTTAAATTTGTATTGTCTTATGTTAAAAAGATTATTAAGAAGATTTAAAAGAATATTAAAAAGATTTTTCTTTAAAAGAAGATGTCTAATGTACAAAACTGCTAATGTTTATCTTTAAAAATGTCTAATTTTTAGTATAATCTATACTATACACTAAATTTGGTTATAAATAAATTTCTTAATAATATCACTGCAGATTTTCAATAACACATGAAAATGAATACATAATATTACAAAAGATGTGAGTTTTCAAAAGTACAAGATTTTGGTTACTATTCAAAATATAAGTGTTTCTTCAAAATTTTAAATTTATTTTTTCTAGAACATATTTAGAAACACTATCCTTTATAAAAAATATATAAATTTTATGTATTAATTAAATTTCACATATGAATATAGGTTTTTGACATTTTCGACATTTTTGACAGTGAGGTTTTTGACGTGACGGTTTAAACCATGGTTTAAACTGTCAAAAACTATCACATGTCAAAAACCTGCCAACCCTGACTCCAAATAACAAAAATTTGAAGTACTTTATACAAATATTTTTTAGAACAGGAGAATATCACCAATAATATGAAAATATGTATTCTTTTATGTTTAGATTAAAAAAAAAAATTTCGTACATTTATATTTAAAAAAATTATATAGTGTTCTCATCAAGGCTATTTTTGTAAACAGAAAACACTTCTGTTACTTTAAAGTAGTAACATATATATTTGCTACTATTGTCTTTCAGAAAGGTATTAGTACTAGAGAGAATTGTCGCTGAAAGCTATAAAAAATTCTGGCACAGGGATTAACACACAGCATTATTTAAAGTGTTTTTAATGATTGTTACTCTTTTATCATAACTTTTTTTTCCTAAAAATATGGCAATGTGAAGAATTTGAATTAAGATTTTCAGTGTTAAATTTTTAGTTTAAAAGATGATTTTTTATTTTATTTCAATCGAGTTTTTCCGTTAAAAAAAACCCTGTTTTCATCGACATTTTTATTTTTTATTATATATATATATACTTAGATACTTAATATAAATACATATCACACAGCGCCCCCTAAAAGAAACAGGGCAGAATCGCAGCGATTTGGTAAAATGTTACATATTCCTTGCCAAAAGATTTTTCTGTATATAAAAAATATTGGTTTGCTTTTCTGCAGAAATCTAAACAGGGTATCTGCTACATTTCAGATTTTCAAATTCATGACTTTCCATGACTAAACGAAGTTACTATTTTCTATCACAAAAACGCAACAATAAATTAAAAAAAGCATTATAATAACATTAATTGAAATGATAGGTAGGGCCAAAACTGTTATACTCTGCATCTTCATATTTACAGATTCTAAATTTAAAAAACAGAGTAAAGAAAGAGTTGAAACAATAAAATAGGTGAAAAAAATACAAAAGCAAATAATTTTTTTTCTGCAGAGTTATATTCTAAAGATACTTTTCTTGTTCAACAGAAAGGAAAGAAATACTCCTGATTTTTCTGTTCTCATTTCGAAAAAAAAAAATTCGACAATGACTGGTTTGTTTCTACTAGAATTTTAAATTTATAAAATTAAAAAAAAATAAATAATAAAAATTCTTAAATCACAGAAGTTTAAAAGATAATTCACTCTGGAAAAAAAAAATTTTCCCTTCATTTTTTGAAAGAACACCATAATTTTTAAAGAACATGATAAAATCATTTTATATTCGAATAAAATATGCCTGAGTGGTGATTTTGTTAGGAATTTAGATAATTGGAACAGGATGAAATGGGGGTGGGGGATTCCATTTTAAAAATTGGATTTTTCAGAGACCGAAATCCATGACTTTCCATGATTTTTTTTAAAAAATAGTAAAAACCATGACAAATTTGGTTCAATACTGAAATTCATGACTTTCTATGATTTTTCATGACTTTCCAGGTGCGCGGATACCCTGTCTATACATAAAATGTGAATCACGCATTTAAATTGCTCAATTAAAGTAGAAATCCATTTTGATTGTGGCAGTTATTGATTTAAGTATATATATTTCAAGCAATATGTGATCATTTACTTTTTAAGGCAATTATTTTATTAGTTTTTTTTCTGGTAGTTATTGCTTTTGATGCAGACATTATTTTTAAAATCTAATATTTTTTATACGATTTATTACAACAATTAAATTTTGAAATGAAACAGACATTCGAGTAACCAGACAGGGTTGGCTTTTTGCCGGCAAAAACTGGTTTTTGCCATGCCAGTGGAAGAAACTGGTTATAACTGGTAAAAACTGGCAGAATCTAAAAGAACGTCTATATTAGTTCTAGTAATTGCTTAATGACATTTTGTTAAACTAAACTGCTCTTGATTTAGTTCAGAAGGAAAACTGTTCAATTGCATATGCTTTCGATATTTGGATTAATCTAACAAAGGAAGAGAATCTTATGGCTGTTTATGAAAAAGAAGTGACATACAGACTTGCAGTTACTGAATACTATATGCTAGCTCATATGCTGCATCCAAAGTATTTGGGATTGAAATAATCAAGTACTCAAGAAGAAAGTGCCAGAATTTTACTCGCCAATATTAACCCAGACTTTGTACCTTAGGTCATAGCTTTGCAAAACAATCGGCCCCATTTTCTGTAACTTATTTTTCTAGTCAAGTTTTGACAACTATCCCAGCTGCTACAGGGTGATCCAGTTTTAAAAATATGCAATAGATGAAAGTTTCACAAATCTTGCTTGTTCCTTGATAGCGATGCCTACTAGTTCTGCTGGACTTGAGAGAATCTTCTCAAATTTCTTGTTCGTGCATTGCAAATTGAGAAATTGTATAGGTTTAGAAACTGCAAAAAAACTTGTCTTTTATTATAGAATACTGCAGAGTGCAAACAATGTAATATTTGATTTTGAATGGTGATAATTTTGTAAATAAATTGTATTTTGTTTAACATTTAAATGTTTTTCTATGAATTATCTATTGTATGTCAATCTCAGTTTTAACCGGTTTCTACCAGTGGTTTTAACCACCTCGGCAGAAACTTGCCAACCTTGCTTTCAGAAGAGTCTCGATTCGCGTGATTTCGTCGTCAATCAGTTTTCTGATGATTACTGCTACTGATTTCATGATATTTATTTAATGTGCTGATGGTGATTTACAAAATGCGATTTTTCCCCTCGCCCAACAAAATGTGAGAATATCCCCTATAACATTAGAAAATCACACCTGATTAAAGGAATAACCTCAAATTATGAACATATCAGGCTTAGAATGATTTTACATGAGTGATGAAAATTACGATTTTTACTAAAGATTGTATGTAAATTAAGATAGATATCTTAAATAAAATTTGATACAGACGTTCAAAGAGATTAGAATTCATTTTTGTCATCTTGCGAGTAAAACTTTTGTAGCCATTAAATACTTATGAACAAGAGTACATCCCCACGGCAGAATCGCGACAACATTGTAGCAGAACGTTAAAGTTTTTGCAGAAAGAATTTTCTATTAAAAATAAAATTTTTTACTTTTCTTTTCGATAGAAATTTACACTTAATATTTCAATTGTGCATTTCGGTCATGGCTTTTTGACATGCTCGATTTATGCAGATAGTATCGTAAATCGATGTCGTGCTTTGATTGTATTTTTGGCAATTATTGATTTTCAAATATCCCAATATATTTCAAATAACAAGGAAAATTAGAATTGGGCAATTGAGTAATTACTCTTTAAGGCAATGATTATAAGGAATTTTTGGCAGTTACTGATTTCTAAATCCGGTATTTTTTACATGATATTATTTATTATAATAACCTAATCTGGAAACGAACACTCATTTCAGCAAAATCTGGAAACGAAACACTTATTTCAGCAACCCCCTTTTTGAGGATCCCGATCCGCGTGATATCGTCCTCAATCTTTTGTCAGGCAATTAATACTACAGATTTCATTATTTCTTTTGTTGTGATGATTATTTACAAAATGGGAAGAAAGAAATAATATGAGCTTTTACCATACAGCAAAATATGAGAATCTCACTCATAATATTAACAAAAAATATTACATGTTCAATTAAAAAAATATATATACATATTTTCATAAACACATCACTTTTGTTATTATTAAAAGTATCTTGCAGAAAGATATTAGAGCTAGAGAGATGGCTCGAAAAGCCACAAGAAAGTACACTATATTTGTACTAAGTATTTGCACCATACCTCTAAATTCGGGTGTATACACTAATGTTTGAAGCAAGGAGTTAAGGTAACAAGTAGCACCTTGATTTTCTATGCCACTTAATCCGCAACTGAGTCGCCGGTTCGGGGGAGCTGGGACTTTAAATGTGTGAACGATACTCATCACACCAGCCGGCCTTTCGTCATCAAATAAACTTCCGAACATTGAGGATTAAAGTAAAACTTAAAAAGTCAACAATGATGTGAGTGCTATATTTCTATTCACATATAGCACCGTAAAATGTTCGCTAAGATAGTAAAATTACAACTAACACGGTCATGACATGACTTGACAGCATATTTTTCCTTATCACCCACGAAAGTTGCATTTGAGTCTTTTACATGCAAGACATTTGGATATAATAAAACTTGAGTTATTACACCAGAATTTATATTTGATCATAAATTAGCAAAAAAGTGATTTATTTATATTTCACGAATACGTGATTGAGAGTAAACATGAAAACTAAAACTCAGCACACATTTTGTTATTTTAGTTTAGTTTTCAGTTCAAGTTTTAGTTAGAAGTTGAATCAAGAGTTGTACTAGAAAAATTCCCAGATGGCGATAAATGTCAATGGACGATGTTTTCTACACTAGGGGACGCTGCAAACTCTTGACTGCTTATGGATGGTGTTTTCGACACTAAGGTGCGCTGCAAGCTGTATGCCGCTCATACTTCCGGGTTACTGTTTCCAGTGTATTTTAAAGCCATCTCACAACGTGATCATTGTGAATTGAGATTCCTGCAAGCGCGGTATTTGAATACATATTACTAAACTTAATCTTGCTCCTCGAACAATATGCTAACACTAACGTAAGATGGTGCACAGCTGGCAACACGAACAAACAGAAATAAACAAATGTAAAGAGACCAAATCAAGACTGCCAGAAAAACGAGTTATTCAAAATCTAGCAACCATGTCACTTTACAACAATTATGTCACTTTATTACCATGTCACTTTAACAATATATCTCTAAATAAATAAATAAATTTTCACTTCAAACTCACCAGAATTTCAATATAACATTCCCAGAAAGCATGCAACCTTACGACAACCTTGTGTCTTAATTTTATTTTCATTGTCACTAAAAGGTTTACAGTAAAACCCCCTTTTCAATGACGTAAAAATATTGCAATTTCTAACCTTTCCTCTTTAAAGGAAAACTAAATGATTTTTAAAGCTTTTTAAAAAATGGTGTTATTTAGGTTAAAAAACAAGCAAATGGTAAACCTTATCTTTTGCATTCTTGTTTGTTGTCATGATTAGGTCAGCAGAAATATTAAGCGAAAACCTTTTTCAAAGGAAACGAGATAAAGTAAATATTAACCTTTTCAGCGAAATTTTAATAAATAATCTGAAAATAATTTGCAAGGGACCTCATTTAAGGGAACGCAAATAAACGAGACCATGTTTTTGGATTGTTTTCTAATTTCTGCGAAAGTACAATACGAAAACTTTCTTTTAAAGTTTTCCTCGACAGAAATACAAGTAATAGTTCTCTTCTAGAAAATTTTCAATCGTACAATCTCATTAAAAAATGAATAAAATTTAAAAAATTTGAATCTAGAAATTCATCCTTCAATATTTTTTTATAAATTTCATTTTTCTCTTCAATTTGGGCTAAGGGGTCGTTGCGATCCCAGAAAGCATGTAACCTTACGACAACCTTGAGTTTTAACTTTATTTTTATTGTCAAGAAAAGGTTTGCGGTAAAAACCTTTTCTCAATGACGTAAAAACGTGAATAAAGTGTTATATATAAAAAAACTATTACTCTTGAACACAGTTGAAAAGCGGATGACGTCCAAATAAGGGGCTCACATCATCAAACCCAAAACAACACCCATTTTCCCAATGGATGAAATAATTCTTATTGTATTTCAGACAATAGAGTACGAATTTTAAAACTGAAGTCACCTAAAAATTCTCCCATTACAACGTAATTATCCCAGAAAGCATGTAATCTTATTACAACCTTGTATCTTAATTTTATTTTCATTCTCACTAAAAAGTTTGCAGTAAAAACCCTTTTTCAATGACGTAAAAATATTGCAATTTCTAGCTTTTCCTCTTTAAAGGAAAACTAAATGATTTTTAAAGCTTTTTTAAACAATTGTGTTATTTAGGTTAAAAAACAAGCAAATGGTAAGCCTTATTTTTTGCATTCTTGTTTGTTGTCATGATTAGGTCAGCAGAAATATTAAGCGAAAACCTTTTTCAAAGGAAACGAAATAAATCAAATATTAACCTTTTCAGCGAAAATATTAATAAATAATCTGAAAATATTTTGCAAAGGACCTCATTTAAGGGAAAGCAAATAAACGAGACCATGTTTTTGGATTGTTTTCTAATTTCTGCGAAAGTACAATACGAAGTTTTCCTCGACAGAAATACAAGTAATAGTTCTTTTTTAGAAAATTTTCAATCATACAATCTCATTAAAAAATAAATAAAATTTAAAAAAATTTGAATCTGGAAATTGACTCCTCAATATTTTTTTATAAATTTTATTTTTTTTTCTTCAATTTGGCCTTAGGGGTTGTTGCGATTCCTTTAAAATGTGTGGCCATCTCTCCTTCATTTTACCTTGTTGCAGACCTAATTATTGTAACAATAAAATATCCGCACGAAGAGAATATTATTTAAAATATTTATATACAGAAACGCTCAGCATTCTATTGTGAGCTAGAGGGCCATCGATATTAAAACTCCACGATTTATGACTAACGAGGAGTGATGGTGAAAACAAAATCAGCACTGTGTACCTACCGCCTTTATTTCCCTGACAAGCTGGTACCGACTCTAAAGCTGGGTGGATTCAAAACCTAGACCCATAGTTTTTTTTCATCATATCTTTGGAGTGAATTTAAGAATATTTTGCTCACAAAACTCGATGTATAGTGTGTAAAATTAAAAGCAGACCACCCTGAATAAATTTTGATCTAATGATCAGATTTTCACGTTTTATAACTCAATCTTAATGGTTCGAAGGAATGATCNTTTAAAAAAAAATATTATTTATTTTTGAAATTTGAGGTCAGGTTTACTTCTCTGTACGTAATCGCAAGTTAACGCACGAAATTAAAGGCAGTACGACTGCCAAATGTTTCTACCAACGCAAACATTGGCAACATTCCATTTTTTATGCATATCTTAATTTATCGGTGTGGACCCCACATTAATAGAATAATAAATTCATGAAATTTCATTTGAGGGGTAGTTTTTGCACACTAAAATCGAATGCAAATGATATGTTTTTTCAGAAAATGCGCGCTTTTTCATCAAAATAAGCCAATCCCTCTCAATGATTACTGTTAACTGATTTATACAAATTAAAAGAATTTTTTTGAGTTATTGCCATAACATTTTACAGANAAATTAAAAGAATTTTTTTGAGTTATTGCCATAACATTTTACAGAATGACAGACAATACAGCCACCCTTCAAAATTTTTCAAAATCATTTTTTT